GACACTACTTTGTCTCTGGCATTGAAGCATTAGCAGATGTCCCTGGAACAGGTAGTTCTTTAATTACTTGATCCCAAACTTTATTCTGTGGTATTATCCATATATGATAATTCAAGATCTCTTAAAGATGATTAAAAGATTAGGTTAGGCTTGTTGAAAATATTTTCAAATGTGATCAAGATTAAAGTAATTTGGGAGGTAGGCTGAATCAGAAATCTGGATGCTTGCCCTCTATGCTGGCTGGTTTTCGTTAGCCTGACACAATCCTAGATTTAGCTGGGAAGAGGGGATCTTAACTGAGAAAATGCCTCTGTAAGATTGGCCCGTAGGAAAGTCTGCGGCTTCGTCTTAGTGACTGAGTGGGAGGAGCGAGCTCATTGCAGGCCTGGGTGCATAGGGAAGCAGGCTGAGTAAGCTATGAGGAACAAAGCTTGAGAGCAGTGTTCCTCCACCATCTCTGCCTTTGTTCCCTTCAGGTTTCTGCCTGACCTTCCCCTAATGGACTGATCTGGGACCTGTAAGCCAGATAAACCCTTTCTTCCTAAGTTGCCTTTGGTGATGATGTTTTATTACTGCAGTAGCAATGTTAACTACTCAACTCAACTTCATGGTATTCTAAAATATTTTTGGGAGCAGTTTGAGGCTTGAGTTTGCTCTTTATTAGTTTTAAATATGAACCATTTTCCCCCACTGTAAGGATGCCTTGAGCTGTTGTATCACACCATTTCTAATTTTCCTCTTAGATTTTATTTTTATTTTGTACATGTAGGTGTATAGATGTACATTAGTGCAGGTGCCTATGGAGGCCAGAAGAAAGGCCTCAGGTCCCTGGAGCCAGAGTTACAGGTGACTGTGAGCTGCCCAGCATAGATGCTGGGAACTGCAAGAATAGCAAGTGTTGTTAACTGCTGAGTTGTCTCACCAGCCCTCTGAATAGAACACTTAAAATTTCTTTACAGAGGAGAAGCCAACACAGCCCCACCCCTAAACCAAAAAGCTATTTGCATTTGATGCTTTCTGGGGGAAGGAAAATCAGTTTTCACCAATGGCGTATCACTATAGTATCAACCCCATTCTGGTATGGGCTCCATGCTCAGGTGTAGTTGGCCAGCACAAAATGGACTCTTTGAAGGCAGATATTCTCTGTGTTCCATCAGTCTCTCCCAAATATAACCACACAGAGACTTAATGGTTATAAATGCTTGGCCAATAGCTTAGGCTTGTGTTTAGCTAGCTCTTAACACTTAAATTAACCCATAAAGCACTGCAGCTTCTTTACCTCATCTGTGAACTTCACATGTTGCTTCTTCTAAGTCTGGCTTTCGACTCCTCAGACTCTGCCCTTCTTCCCAGCATTCTTTCTGCCTAGCTATTGGCTGATCAGGTTTTTTTGTTTTTTTGTTTGTTTGTTTGTTTGTTTATTTGTTAACAATGAGCAACACAGATTTACAGTGTACAAAGATTTTCCCACAGCAGACCCCGTATTTTTTGTGTGCTTTTAGTTCCGTTATTTTTTTCTTAGTGATTTGATTTTAATTTTTGTTTTGTTTTTCAAGACATGGTTTCTCTGTGTAGCCCTGATTGTCTTGGAACTTGCTTTTTAGACCAGGCTGGCCTCAAACTTACAGAGATCTGCCTGCCTCTGCCTCCCAAGTGTTGGGATTAAAGGTGTGCTACCACTGCTTGGCTTAGTTTGTCTGTTTTGATTTTCCTTTTTTTTTTTGTTGTTTTCCCTTTTTTGGTTTTGTTTTCCTTAGAGAGACAGAGCAACACACACACACACACAGAGAGAGAGAGAGAGAGAGAGAGAGAGAGAGAGAGAGAGAGAGAGAGAGAGAGAGAGAACATGAAGTTGGGGAGGTAGGGGGAGGATCTGGAAGAAGTTGAGGAAAAGAATATCAAAATATATTGTACGAAAAAAGACTTTAAAGAAAGGTGAGGGCTGGAGAGATGGCTCAGAGGTTAGGAGCACTGGCTGTTCTTCCAGAGGCTAAGTTCAATTCCCAGCACCCACATGGTGGTTCACAACCATCTGTGAGATCTGGTGCCCTCTTCTGGCCTGCAGGCATACATGCTGGCAGAACATTGCATACATTAAAAAAAAAAAAAGGTAAAAGCTCTCAGCCATTTGTTAAGTAATTGACAGTAAAATGTTACTAGTCATCTAATATACAGGTCTTTTGAACTTCCTCCTACGTGACTGAAACTTTATGTCCTTTGAACATCTTCCACTAACTCAGCTTACTTAATCTCCATTTTATCTTTGTTGTCACAAATAGAATCTTACTCTTTTAAATACCAGTTTTCGTGTGTGTGTGTGTGTGTGTGTGTGTGTGTGTGTGTGTGTGTGTGTGTGTGTAATGCTCACTTTCTTTACCTATTTACCAGACAGCTTGATTCATATCTTGGTTATTGTAGATACTGCTTCAGTGAATTTGAGAATACAGATATCTTTTCATTTTATTACTCTCTTTTTCATTGGCTTAATACAAGAGGTGAGATTGCTAAATCATATAGTAATTCTATTATTAGTTTTTTGAGGACCCTCCATGTTTAAAAAAAATTATGTTAATTTAGCCTGGCCGTGGTGGCACACACCTTTAATTCCAGCACTTGGGAGGCAGAGGCAGGTGAATCTCTGAGTTCAAGGCCAGCCTGGTCTACAGAGTGAGTTCTAGGCCAACCAGGGCTACACAAAGAAACCCTGTCTGGAAAAACAACCAAGTTATGATTGTGTGTGTATATGTGTGTGTGTGTGTGTGTGTGTGTGTGTGTGTGTGTGTGTGTGTGTATGTGTGTGCGCTTGTGCGCACGCGCCAGAGAGAGACAAAGACAGACAGAGAGAGACAGACAGACAGAGACAGAGAGCGCCTTGTAGGAGTTGGTTTTCTATTGTATGGCTCCCAAGTATCAACTCAAGTCATCAGGCTCGGCAGCAAATGCATTTACTGTTATGGGAATTCTGTCACCGGTCCCATAGCCAGTTGAGTGGTTTGGTACAAGAGGTGGGGTTTTCCTTGGGGATGGACGTGACTGAAAGAAAAGGCGAGGTGGAGAAGTGCTGGGCTTTTCCAGTGAGGAATGAGCTGTGGCAGAGTTCAATAGGTGATCGATTTAGATTCCCCATTTGTCTTGAGATATTTGTGCATGGATTATAATTATAATAGACAGTTAAATAATCTTCTGACATCCTTTATCAATTTTCCTACTGAGTCATCTCACCCAGGAGCCTCCATATTGTTTTCCAGAATCGTTGTTCTGGTTTACATTCTCACTCTGGTGTGCCAGGATTCCCATCTCTCCACATCATGCCCGCACTTAACGCTGTTTGTGTGATAGCTGCAGTAACAGGTGCACGATAACACCTCCCCCAGGTTTGATCTCATTGACCTAATGATTGACACTGAGCACCTTTTCAAGTACCTGTTGGGCATTTGTGTGTCTTGAGAAATGTTTGTTTTGGTCCTTTTCCTACTTTTTAACCAGGTTATTTGTTTTCTTACTACTGAGTTGTTTGAAGTCCTTTACATGTATGTCTTGTAGATATTTTTTCTCATTCTGTGTGTTGCCTTTCATTTTGTTTTCTCCGTTGCAGTGCAGAAGACTTTTAGTTTGGCGTACAGCCTCTGTTTCTGCTTTTGTTGTGTGGCCAAAACACTGTTAGAGTCCTACGCCGAAGCTTGTCCTCGGCTGCTTCTTGTCCTCGGCTGCTTTCTAGTCTGGGGTCTTATGTTTCAGGTCTTAACTAGTCCATTTTAAGTTGATTGTTTTGTGCGGTGTAGCTTCAGTTTAATTCTTTGGATGTGGCTATCCAGCTTCCCCTGCTTCGTGTACTGAAGATCTGTCTTTTTCCATTGTATTTTTTTTTTGGTGGCTTGTTGGAAATCATAACATGCCTTAGAGGTGTAGTTCCAAACTATAGCAGCAAAGTGAATATTGAAATAAAGCAAATCACATCTTTGTTTCCCAGTCTATATAAAAATAGTTTTCATGTTATTGTAGTCTAAATGTACCAATAGCATTATTTCAAAAATATGTACCAGATGTGGTGGAGCACACTTTTAATCCCTTGCACTTCAGAGGCAGAGGCAGGTGGATCTCTGTGAGTTGAGGCTAGCCTGGTCTATATAGTGAGTTCCACATTAGCCAGAGCTACATAGTGAGACCCAATCTCAATCAAACACACACACACACACCCCAAAACAAACAAATAAAAAAAAAAGAAAAAGTTTCTTAATCTACAAATGCTTTATTGCTAGAAAATGCTAACGATCATTTGAGACTTCAGCAAGTCATCTTCATTGGTAGAGGACCTTGCCTTGATGTTGGTGGCTGCTGACTGGTCACAGTTGTATTTACTTAAGTTGGGGCAGCATGGATTCTTACTTCAGCATTTTACTCACAATAGACTTTTTTTTTTTGTCGGAGCTGAGGATTGAACCCAGGGCCTTGCACTTGCTAGGCAAGCACTCGCTAGGCAAGCACTCTACCACTGAGCTAAATCCCCAACCCACAATAGACTTTCTTTAAAAATTGGAATCAGTGCTCTCAGATGCTGCTACTATATCAACGGACACATACTTGAATTAAAAAACATTTTTAATTATTTGTATTGTGTGTGGGTATGTGTACATGGGTGTAGGTGCCAAGGAGGCCAGGACACGGGACCCTCTGCAAGCTCATTGGGTGCTCTTAAACACTCTGAACCACCTCTCCAGTTCCCCAACCACTCGTAACGATTTTATTTTCATTTTATGTGTATGAGTATTTTACCTGCATGTATGTATGTGCACACTGTGAATGTTTGGTCCCCCCAGAGGCCAGAAGAGGGTATCAGGATCCCCTAGAACTGGAGTTACAGATGGTTGTGAGCCACCATGTAGGTGCTGGTAATGAAACTCAAGTCCTCCACATACGCAACAAGAGCTCTTAACCATCAGGCTCTCTCTCTCTCTCTTTTTTTTTTTTTCAGTTTCTTTTTTTTTTTAATTTTATTTATTTTATTTTACAATACCATTCAGTTCTACATATCAGCCACGGGTTCCCCTATTCCCCCCCTCCCACTCCCTCCCCTTACCTCCAACCCACCCCCCATTCCCACCTCCTCCAGGGCAAATCCTCCCCTCCCCCCAGGACTGCGATCAACCTGGTAGACTCAGTCCAGGCAGGTCCAGTCCCTTCCTCCCAGCCCCATCAGGCTCTCTTTAGCCCCCATGGAATTCTGTTTTAACTCTGTTGAGAGCATCTTCACCTGTGCTAGATTCCATTTCAGGATACCACTTGCTTATTTTTAAGAAACAACTATCATAAGGGCTGGAGAGATGGCTCAGAGGTTAAGAGCACTGACTGCTCTTCCAGAGGTCCTGAGTTCAATTCCCAGCAACCACATGGTGGCTCACAACCATCTGTAATGAGATCTGGTGCCCTCTTCTGGCTTGCAGTCATACATGCTGTATGCATAATAAATAAATCTTTAAAAGAAAAGAAAAACAACTATCATGTTTTTTAAAAGACTTATTTATGTGCATGTCTGTGTGAGTTAATACCACATGTGTCCAGGTGTCCATAGAGACTAGAGATTAGATCCCCTGGAGGTGGGGTTACAGGTGGTGATGAGCCACCAGATGTGGGTACTGGGAATCACCAGCACTCCTAACTGCTGAGATGTCTCTCCAGCCCCTACCAAAATCTTACATTGTTGTTGTAGTAATTCACTCACATCTTAAGTTCTGCTTCAAGTCAACTATGAAAGTTGGAATCAGCTTCTCCCAAATTCTTCCTGATACTTTAACTACCTCCCATGGATCTTAATGGCATCTGAATCGAATCCAGTGGAATCCACAACTCTAGCACCTTGCAAAATTTCCTATGACTTGAAAGTCACACTTGCTCCTAATCTCTGTTCTGTAAAGTGGATGTGAGAACAGTCAAGTAAACAGTCATCTTGCACATTTTTATTGTCACTCTTGTGCATTGTCAGATGAGCAGTGATACTGAGCATTAGATCTCAACAGTGAGCTCAAAAGATTCAGAATATCATGCTGTAAACAATGTCATCTAGGTCTTGTTTCATTTCCATAGTACATGGTAGATCCATTATGTATTGCTGTGGAATAATCCTCTTGTACACTGTAAAGATTTGTCACTTGAATTGGCTTAATAAAATGCTGTTTGGCTAGTAGCTGGGCTGGAAGTTAGGCGAGAAAGCCAAACAGAATTCTGGGAAGGAGAAAGGTGGAGTTAGGAGTCACCAGCCTGATGCAGAGGAAGCAAGATGAGAATGTTGTACTGAGAAAAGGTAACCAAGCCATGTAGCTAAACATAGATAAGAATTATGGGTTAATTCAAGTGTAAGAACTAGTTAGTAATAAGCCTGAGCTACTGGCCAAGCATTTATAATTAATATTAAGCCTCTGGGTGGTTATTCAGGAATAGGCAGGCAGGAGAGAACTGTCTGCCTATAATGTATGTCTTACAGAACTTTTTCAGAATGATAATGGGCATTGCCTTAAATGTAGTTCCCAGTTGTATTGCCCCCCCCAGTGTCAGCTAGCAGATCCTTTGGAACTTTGAAGCCAAATATTGATGTCTGTAGAGATATGAAAGTCCTAGACAGCATTTTGCAATAGAAGGCTGTTTATTACTACATGGAAAAATCAGTGTATTGTAGCTACCTTCGTCTGTGATTTTAGCTAGCTCTTCTCCCTAGCTTGCTGCACTCACTTTGTCATCTTGTTTTTGTTTTTGCTTTTTGAGAAAAGGTTTCTCTGTGTAGCCCTGGCTGTCCTGGTGCTAAGCCTGTAGACCAGGCTGCCCTCGAACTTAGAGATCTGCCTGCCTCTGCCTCAGGACTGCTGGGGTTCTTTAGCGTGCCGTCACTGCCTGGTGTGCCTTTGTTTTGGACTTGGATTTTAAACCTCCTGATCCCACCTCAGCTGGCTTCAGCCTTCTCTTAAGCAGCTTTCCTACCTCTTACTAGAGGAACGTTTCCTCATACTGTACAGCATGGTTAGCCACTGGTGTTCTAATTTTTAGTCTGTGTGGCTATTTTCATCTGAACTTCAATCAGTTCTAGTTTTTTATTTAATTAGAGAAATGCATGAATCTTCCTTTCACTTGACCACCCAGAGGGCACTGTGAGCTGCTAATTGATTTTATTATAATGTTGTCTCAGAATAGGACCAAGAAGACAGAAAAGAATAGCCAGATAGTGGAGCAGTTACAGCACATGCATGTTTCTGCCATCTTGTGTGGGTATGGCTTGTGGAGATCACAGATCACACCAACACATAGTTATATTGAAAGTTTGAAATATTGCAGGAACTACCAATATTTGACAAAAGAGGTACATATTCACCACAGGGTTGCAACGAATCTTCAGTGTGTGTGTGTGTGTGTGTGTGTGTGTGTGTGTGTGTGTGTGTGTGTGTTGTATATATATGCATACACATAAACATGTATATATGTGTTCACTTGCCTGTGTGTTGTTTATATGTTAATACATGTGTGTATATGAGGGTGTCGGTACACTTGCCCATGCATGTGCATCTGTGGAAGCCACAGGTAGGCATTGAGTGTCTTCTTACTGACCATCCTTATTTTTTTTAGACAGTCTCTCACTGCATCCAGAAGTCACCCTTTCTGGAGCTTGACTGGTCAATGAGTACCCAGGGTGTACTTATCTTTGTGGCCCAAGTGCTAGGGTTACAGATGTGAGCCACCACACCTGGCTGTCGTGTGGGTGCTGGGGTTACAGATGTGAGCCACCACACCTGGCTGTCATGTGGGTGCTGGGGTTACGGATGTGAGCCACCACACCTGGCTGCGGTGTGGGTGCTGGGCATCCAAATGCAGGGCCTCATGCTTGTGCAGCAGATACTTCACCAACCCAGTCATCATCTCAGCCTCCAATCTCCCATTTCTGAAGAAAATATCAGGGGGTGGGGCACAGGGAGATGACTGGGGAAGTGTACTTGCTGTACGAGCATTCTCTGAACGCTGGGCGTGGCTGCAAGTGCCTGTAACAGCAGCACTGTGGAGGGGAAGAGAGAGTTACTCAGGCACACTGGCTGCTAGACTAGCTCCAGTTTTTGTGGGAGACCCTGTCTCAAGTATAAGGTGGAGAGTGATGGAGCAGGACTCCTCCCTTTCATGTTCTCTGGGCTCTGTACCCACACACAGGTGCATACGCTTGCACATATGTGCGCACATTACACATACAAATAATAAACATTAAAGCATGGTGACTCATACATGTGATCCTAGCACTCAGGAGTGTGAGACAGAAAGATTGCTGTGAACTCTAATCCATGCTAGGTTACATAGTGAATTCCAAGCCAACCTGCAGTGGGCTGTGTCAGACCCAAATCTTATCTAAAAAATAAGGATCTGTAAAGTGCAGTAAGCAAACAGCATGCCAGTGTTTGCTTGCCGTCTTTGGCTTCTCATGCTCTGTGTTCTGTCCACTGACCATGTTCTGTCCTAGCAGTGCAAAGGTTACAGAAGCTTTGTAATGCTGGAAATCAAGAAAAAGGAAATCTTGGGGTTGGAATGATGGCTCAGTGACCATGAGTACCTGCTGATCTTCCAGATCACCCAAGTTCAGTTCCCAGCACCCACACAACCATCTGTAACTCCAGTTACAGGGAATCTGATGCCCTCTTCTAGCCTTGGGGGTACCGGGCACACAAGTGGTGCACAGACATCCATGCAGGCAAAACATCCATACACATGAAATAAAAATGGAAGAAATGTGATACCTCTTATTTGTTTTGTTTTGTTTTCTGTTTGAAAATTGTTTTGGCTTTTGGAGGAGTCTTCTCTGCTTCCATTATTAAAATTGCTTTCAGTTTCTGTGCAAAATGTCATTGGAATTTTGATAGGAACTATGTTTATCTACTTATGTTTGAACAGTATGCTTTAAATCCATTATATCCAAGTCCATAAGCATGAAATATCTATTTATTTGTGACTTTCAATTTTATCAGTGTTTTCCAGTTTCCAGGATACAGATCTTTAATTCCTTAACTAAATTTATCTTTACCTATTTCATTATTTTTATACTATTTCAGTTTTTTGTTTTTCTTCTCTTTCATATAGATTGTTCCTGGTACAAAGAAAAGCAACTGATCCAGGAGTGGTGGCTCACATCTGGAATTCCAACACTTTGGAGATAGTGGCAGAAGGACCAGGACTTTGAAGCCAGACTGTGTCAAAACTTTGACCCCGAGGCTGGAGAGACGGCTTAGTGGTTAAGAGCACTGGCTGCTCTCCCGAGGACCTGGGTTTGATTCCTAGCACTAATACAGTGACTCACAACTGTGTGTAACTTCAGTTTTCGGGGATCTGACTCCTCGCCTCCACAGGCTCCAGGCACACATAATATACAGACATACATGAAGGAAAACACCCAAACACATTAAATAAAAACAAAGAACTTTGACCCTGTGTTTAAAACAAAACAAAACAAAACCAAAAAAAAAAAAAAAAAACACCACCACAAAACCTCAA